CTACTACTACTCCCACCACCACCACCTACTACTACTACTACTACTACTACTACTACTACTACTACCACCACTACTACTACTACTACTACTACTAGTTCTAGTACTTCTAGTACTACCACTAGAACTACTACTACTACTACTACTACTACTACTACTACTACTACCATGCTCTCTACATGTGACACCATACATGGCAGTTGTAGATTCAGAAGTAACATGAAATGGACTTCCATCATGTTCCATGGTCATTGGTGATGATATCTACTTCTTGGCAGTTCGTGCAGAGATTTGCAAACTTCTGCAAACTTCTCAGTAAAATAGCACAGCCAACTGAGTACAGTCTTTTATTCAACCGCCCATGACTTTGTCTGTGTGTGCTTCCCACAGACACAGCTTTTAGGGCAGCAGCAAAGGCCTGGCAGCCTGGCACGCAGATATAAAACATGATTCAGTTATCAAATTTCAAATTTATCAATTCTGTCAAGTAACATTGAGGCAGCGCAATTGAACCTTTTTTTTGCGGCCAAGGCTAAAGTTGAACAAAGCAGCAACCTACTAACAAGTTGTAACTGGTAACCGAAATAGAAGACGGTCGTTATCGTTGTATCTAGACTGAAAGCCGACCCTAATACAGCTCTAATGACCGCGCATTCTATTCGGGTGAACCTAGACTGAAAGCATGCCGTGGGACCAGTGACACTGTGCCACACAACCTCCCCACTGATGCAAGATGGAACCATCAACGTTCTTTTTTTCTTTCTTCTTTTTTAAAGTTTTTCCCCCCTTATAATGAAGGCAGATCATAGACCCATCGACCTCACCATCATCAATGGGTGATAGACACAGAAGCTTTTTTTCCCTCAAGATAGGAGTACCGCAGATATGATGGAGAGCCGTTGGCTGAGTTCTCTTGTTTCCCTCTTCTTCTTTTTTTAGGTCCTTTCAGCTCCGGACAAAGGTTTAGAAAGAAAACAGAATTATTTCCACGTATATCAAGTTATTTCAACTTATTCGTATGATGGAGCCATGGGGGCTCACCGCACCACTCGCCAAACGCCAACATTTTCAATATCCAAATGCACTCAAAATGTTGGTGCTTGGGAGTGGTGCAGTGCACCCCATGATCCTGGCTAACAGGATCATCGAACCTGCCCAATGATATTACAGACGCAGTAACCTGGAATGGGAGAAACGACCACTGCTGATCTGATGGCGGCAGCAGCGTTGACAGCAAAATGCCAAAGTAGAGTAGCCTCACCGCAAATGGCATGTAGTCAGCAATCCCTTCCCCCCCCCCCCACCCCCACCCCACCAATTTGGAAGCAACTGCCAATGTATAGCATTTGACACTAGGCAAGAACAAAATGGGAGAGCTGCACCT